AAATATAGCGCAAATAGGTCAACAGTTAGTTCTGGATGAAACTTTTACTGACAGGCAAATAGGATTAGGACTTATTTTTTAGGAAAAGCTCCATATTCTTTAATATCCAGTAGAAACATTTGTTAAGTTAGGAGCAAGTATATTCCCATTATTAGTATTTTTAAAGTAATATAGTGACTTAGAATACCCTAAAGGTATTTACTTAAATCTACAAATAAATAGTCATACTTGATTAAAAAGAATAAGTCAAACAACTGAAATCTGATGACATACTTGCAATAGCCTGCAAAGCTGTTTTAACTTTTTTAACTTACCAACATGCTCATCTGTAATTTGTACTGTAGGAAGACTTTTTATTTTATCTCTATCAGCAGGTGGTGGTCCTGTATTCTCAAACTGATTTAATAACTAAACATTAAAGAAAGGAGAATATTAGAAAGGAGGATAAATTGAAAGACACATTTCCTTCCCATCAGTATCTACAATGTTAATACAATCACTTAAAAAAAACAAAGTTTCTAAAAGAATACCTGTGTTATAATAGCATCTAATCCATTAGCACCCCAGGCATAGTCCATAGGATTTGAGTGAAGAACACCCCTTTAAAAAGAATGGGACATTAGAACAAAGTAAGCACATTTTGGTGTGAACTTCCGCTCTATTTTAACACATCTATTTCACAAACTCACCAGGGTCCAACACCAATGTTTGGCATTGCCGTAGGTGCAATTATTCCATTTACTAGCTGCTGAATGATTCTATGAAAAAGAACATAAAAAGATATGACAAAGTAGGAGGCAGGAATATTAATAAATTGCCCAGCAAGCACAAACAAAACAAAACACCGCTTCACTTCACAATCTGCACTCTTTACCCCTCTAAAGTGGGAACTCCCTCGTGTCTCCCTGCTTGTCGTCTTGAACCATGGCGACTTCTTGGTTGCCTGGCACCATATCGTTGCCGAGATGCAGCTTCCCTTTCCCGACGGTTTTCAGCATCCCTGTTATCCTCTGTTGCGAGTCCAGCCCCAAAGTCAAAGCTATCATCAAAGACACCCAGGGCAAACTGGCCATAGCCTGAAGGGAATGTAAACAGGTGCTGGTCCGCATTCTGGGACACAAATAAATGAAAGCAAACACACTGACTTGGTACAAACAAGTGAAGCTTTTGGAATACAAACACCAAACTTTTACAGTCAATACAAAAACACTTTGAAAGTTAATGCTTTGGTTGATAATTAGGTCAAGGTTCACCAATGGTACAGTCACAGAATGCTGACTTGCAGCATTTCCCTGTTTACTGATCATTAAAGCCTGAGTAACTATCACTTTTAAAAAAAATCTTTAGATTACTGATGCCTATTTTTAACAGGGAAAAGTAAAGCTAGACAAATTATTCAATAAAATACACTGTAAAGCTCAAAACTACAGCTTCAAAAGCTAAAGTGCAAACTCCAAGACAAAGTTCATCATGCATGATAACATATTAGCACAAACGTCACTGGAAGCAGTTTTAAGAAATGCTGACTCTGTTACACAATAGTGTGCATAACAGAGTCAGAGCGGTACAAAACAGGGGGAGGTTAGATGATAAAGACAGAGTCTGAATAAAGAATGGGTTAGAAACCTCAAATGGTTGTTGATTCTGGGGCCCGCTGGAGATGGTAGACATGGAGCCATTGTCAGCACTAAACAGGGGAACATCATTGAGAGTGTTATGTTTAGACCCAGTGACATCAAAGGAAATGACCATGCGTCAATGTTTTTATCCTTTTATATATTTGTAATGTTTTGCTGCCATTTCACTTTGTTTTCTAGATTATTTACTTTTTGCAAACTGTTACCATGTAACACTTACAGGATAACATCATTAAAGACACCTAAAAAAGGACAAAAACCCATGGCCATATGTTGATTAGATCAGATTAGTTATTAGATTTTTTAGGCCACCCTTTAATGGAAGAAAA